TATCAGAAGTCCATCTTTTCCTGGTAAGATCACAACATCAATAATTCGTGTTTTCAATGTTGAAGACTTTGGATGCTATCGAGACTTAATTAACTACTTTAAATACAGTTAGGGTCGTTATGGTCGAGTAGTAGGGGAACCGGTATTTCGCTAGAATGGCCAGGGGTTCGAATCGTCATGGCCTGAGAAAGGCCGTCGGGGTCTGTCAACCCCGGTTGTTACTGAGGGTGATGTCATCGAGTGCTAGGATTGTACTAACAACCGAGCCCCACTTTCATGATAGATGAATTAATTGTCAGTCCAAACATATCATCAAACCACACAGTTTGTACGCCGGAAGGAAACGGTATATGTTGATTCACACAGTCTTTTTTTTGTTTTTACCGCTCTGCTCGTATTTTGTTGCAGTAGGTCCGTGGGTGTGAAAAACATTTAATACGCGACACTTAATACGCGACGCCCACTGTCTTACCAAATTTAATAAAAAAAATAACTGAGTCTCGATAACAAATTAATTTAACATACTACTTTTAATATGTCTGCCGTTTTACCTTTATTTGTCTCAAATAACAAACTGATATGAAATAATACCTTTATATAACTGCAATTATACAGGTTATATAAATGCAGCAGGAAGGTGGGGGGATATCCAATTGGGGCTCAGGTAATTATGGAAAGGGTAAAAAGGTACAGGTACAAGTTCGCCAAAAAGGTAGTTCTGGCACAGAAGGGAACAGGTAAACATGGCACAGGTAGTTATGGAACTGGTAAACATGGCACAGGTAGTTTTGGAAAGGGTAAACATGGTACAGGTAGTTATGCAACAAATAGGAATGGTGCAGGTAGTTATGAAACAGAATAAATGGTACAGGTAGTTTTAGAATAAGTACAAATGATGTAGGTAGCCATTAAGCAGATAAAATGATACAGGTAGTTATTGAACAGGTAAAAATTGGTACAGGTAGTTATGGAATAGGTAGAAATAGAACAGGTAAAATGATAATGTAGTTAGGGAACAAGTAGTTATTTGCCAATTTCTAATAATTTCTAATCTACCAGGAAAACTGCCATTATTGTCTAAATGGTGGAGGGTTAGCAGGTGGACGAATGATCGAATACATGCACTTTAGATCTCACGGCCAGCCATTGAGTCAAGTATCTTGAACAGTGTTGTTTATAGTCATCTTAATATGAACAATGTTGTTATATCTTATGAACAATGTTGTTTATAGTCATCTTATCATGAACAATGTTGTTTATAGTCATCTTAATATAAACAATGTGTTATATCTTATCAGACTCTCCCCGGTGTATATTCAACAGTGCGTGTGTGGACTATATATTTTAAGTACCTGGCATGTACGGAGGTGGTTGTTAGCTTAGAAATGTTGAAGTCTCACTGTCGTCATATTCAAAACATGGTACTTAAGCCTCCATAACGAATATTATTGTTTGTAGTTGAATTGGCGACAGATTTAGCTGTATAAGTGGGAGAAGTTATCAGTTATGACATATACCCTCTCACGAGACATCGTGTTAATCCATACATACTGTCAACAACTGTATTTTGTTGATGAACTAATGAGAGAGAGAGAGAGAGAGAGGGAGAGAGAGAGGGGGGTAGCGTCTACTAGACACAAACTAGGTCATTGCGGGACTAACATCTTCATTTTTTATTTCAATAAATGGCTTGTGCTTAGGGGTCTTTAGCAGTGGCGCATCCTTAGTAAGACCGAGTCGCATCGTTCCGTTCTACGCCACTAACCCCTGGGTCGCTTTACAGAGTTTTCACGATTCAAATTATGTGCCTTTGGCGAATTCATTGGCCACGTAGGTTGGTTCTACAAACCAATCAAAAAGCAGTTTACATACCAGTCTTAGCGTCATTGTTTACGTTCACCACAATACAGTATCGTGCATGCTCGATTATCAAAAATGTTTACAAGACGCACACAAAACGATGTTCTAAAATATTCTGACAAAGTTTGGAACAACAATTTGGCGATCTTAGTTGCATTAAAATGCGAATTCAAATCACATTCCGATACTTTAACAAAATTGTTTATTTATTAATTAATCCGTCTCCCAACGTAATAAAGTCGAGGTTCGGTTTACACTTAAGAGTCCCCTTAAGTGCACAATTCCACTCTTATATAATTATATCATTTAAACGAACTGTTTATTCGTTATTACGAACTGTTTATTCGTTATAACGAACTATTAATTCGTTATAACTAACTATTAATTCGTTATAACGAACCATTAATTCGTTATAACGAACCATTAATTCGTTATAACGAACCATGAATTCGTTATAACGAAATATTGATTCGTTATTCGAAATATTGATTTGTTATAACGAAATATTAAGGTGTTCTAACGAAATATTAATTTGGTATAACGGAATATTAATTTGTTCTAATGAAAATAACGAAAAATTATATTGTTATAACGAAATCTTATATCATTAATCCAAAATCTTATTGCGTTAATACGAAATCTCATTTCGTTAATACGAAATCTTATTTCGTTAATACCAAATCTTATTTCGTTAATACCAAATCTTATTTCGTTAATACCAAATCTTATTTCGTTTAAGCGAATTAATTATTCGTTAATACGAAATCTTATATAGTTAATACGAAATCTTATATAGTTAATACGAAATAGTATTTCGTTTAAACTAATTAATTATTTCTAATCAATTATTTCCTTATAACGAATTAATATATGAAATATATGAAATGATTATATAAGAGTGGAATCGTACACTTTATGGGCTCTGTGGCACCCTGTGTAACAAGACGGCCACCAGCATTGATAAGCCTGTTTAAAATCCAATTGAATCCAAGCCTGCAGGTTATGTAGCGTTGGTAGTTTTAGTTTTATTTCTTAATTAAATATTTTCCGAAGAATTCAAATCACGCTCCGTTACTTTAACAAAAACGTTTATTTATGAATCAACCCGTCTCCCATTGTAATAAAGTCGAGTTTCAGTTTACACTTAAAAACTACAGGAAGAAACTTCTTTCTTTCTTTTCATTCATCGTGAGCGCATTCATACCCTTCCGCCGATCAATGCACATCCATTAAATAGCGACGGGACAAGTATTCAACAAATATTGGAAATCCGGGATATATAACTTTAAATGATTCTAAGCTGTTTTCTGTGTTGATTTTTCTGTAAAGTCAAGTAGTTTCCTAGTAGGTTACTAAGTAACAGCGTCTGGTGTCTCAAATGTGACGTCAACGAACTTCTGTTTTTGAAATTTTATAATTTTATCGTGTTGAATGTGGTTTAAACAATATTTCTATTCTATCATGATTATTTACAATACTGATATTGTCGATCTGGAAAAACAAGCCATAGCTTATATAAATTCATCTCCATGTTGAATTTGAATGTCCATAGTCTTTTAAGATTATAATAAAAATGGATTAAGTAGCTGCCGAGAAAAATTTTCTTTCTTTATTAAATATATATATATATATATTTACACAAAGAGGGACAACAATTATGGCAGTCTTAAAAGACACGGTGCCCCAGATAAACGTTTTTAATCGATAAGAAATAAAAAGAAAATGTCTTAACGCCTTACTTTTCTTCATCGACCGGGCCAAAAGAGACGAGCATAAGCCATACCGTGTGCTGTGGGGTAAATGTTGCTCGGTGATCGCGGTTATGGCGTATTTTTAATCGACTTCCAAATTTCCAGTGGTAGGCCCTACTCCTATGTTAACAGGGGGTTGGATGGCCGAATGGCTAGCACGTGCGCGCGCTGTATCACACGGTCTGTCATTGAGTCAACTGGCGGGGTTTCGATTCCCCGTTTGTACGTGACAAGGAGTAGGGTCGCCTGTCCATCCTCGTGGGTTTTCTCCGGGTCCTCCGGTTTCCTCCCACTGATAAAGACCCCTACGCGCAAGCGAATTATTGAAATAAAAAATTGAACCATGTGTTAGTTCCGAAATGGCCTAGTTTGTGTCGAGTGGGCGTTAAACCCCATTTCTCTCTCTCTCTCTCTCTCTACACGGGTCGTAAAGTCTCAACGCCTCAAAAATCTTGAGGACCTTTCTCGGCCAACATCCGGATACAAACCACACCCTCCTAGTTACTGAACCAGCGCCATACCCATTGGGCCATTGTGGCTCCTTATTCGGCAATCTTTAAATATAGTTATACAATTCAATTCTATCTGTTCGTTTGCAAATTTGCCCCTCTTCTGAATATTCTAACCTTTGACACGTTAATTAATAGCAAGGATATAGAATTCATTCATTTTTCATTGTCAGTGACTTATAATTTCGACAAAATCCTAGTACAATATTAGCTTTTAGCCAATTAAAAGGCTGCATTCTTAAAATATTTTAGCTTACGTTTTCGTGAATAAGGCCCAAGGGGTATCAGAGTCCATTTTTTTGTAGGGTACACTGCTCTGATAGTCATATCTGACAGCGCCTAAGCACAGTTGTCTAGTCGTTTGGATGGGACGATAAACCGAGGTTCTTTGTACACATTGGCGTGCGCGTAAAATATCCCTTGGCAGTTGGAATTCGATATAAGTGTCGGTCGTAGCACACTGTATGGCGATGTCCGTCTCCATTAGCCATGTCGGAGCAGAACAGATAAACCCATTTCATTTCATTTCCGTTACGGCCAGTGCCTGGTTGGGTTGCTTGTGGTATCAATACCAAATATCCATATAGCCAGTTTTCAATAACAACCTATTAACACCTCAACGATTTGTTAATGATTATTTATTGTAATAGTTTAATGCCTTCTAGTGTCAATTATTCCATTAACTACACAGTGCGGTGATGGTGGATATGAACGTTTATTTCCTGTAAAGTGTTAGCTCTGTAGCTTATATTTATACAGAGAAACACGCGGCACTTAACACGCGGGCTTTCCCGTCGTTGTAATAAAACCCATTTGTAATTAGCCAATTAGACTCTTTCATCGCATTAAGAGATTGGTTCAGGTCGTGGGTATAGACTAAGGTACGATAGGTAACCGACTCCCACCGGTCTTCCAGGATCAATAGATGATACCGCGTGCCATCGTGACGTCACATAGTAAGGCGTATTAAAGAGACTGAAGTGACAGCAAGTATCATACACAGTCACTAAAAGGAGGGATAAGAATTGCTTTACATGAGGATGAACAACATTTGATAAACGTTTTTATTCCGTTGTTATTCATAATTAATATAATTTTAAAAATATTGGTGCGTGTTTCTGATTGCAGCCTGACTATTAACCAGATATGGTGTCTCAAAGTATTGTGCCTTTAACAGCTATGTTAACAACTGTTCTACTATTTACACACACAGGTAAGAAAGTTCATTTATTAATGATCCAATCCGGTTCCCATCGCAAACTCACCCAAATGTCTAAAACTCCAAAGTTTTTAATTTTCAAGAACTTTTAAAATAAGTTATGCCACGTTTTTGCGAAGCGTAACTTTGTTTTTCTGACGTTATGTTAAGACCTTGAATTTAAGACATACCGTCATTTATTGAAGACCCAATCCGGTTCCCATCGCAAACTCACCCAAATGTCTTAAACTCCAGAGTTTTTAATTTTCGACAACTTTTAAAACAAGTTAAGCCACGTTTTTGCGAAGAGTAACTTTGTTTTTCTGACGTTATGTTAAGAGTCTTAACTTAAGACATACCGTCATTTCTTGAAGACCCAATCCGTTCCCATTGCAAACTCACCCAAATGTCTAAAACTCCAAAGTTTTTAATTTTCAAGAACTTTTAAAATAAGTTAAGCCACGTTTTTGCGAAGCGTAACTTTTGTTTTTCTGAAGTTATGTTAAGACCTTGAATTTAAGACATACCGTCATTTATTGAAGACCCAATCCGGTTCCCATCGCAAACCCACCCAAATGTCTTAAACTCAAAAGTTTTTAATTTTCGAGAACTTTCAAAAAAAAAATGTATATGCGAAGCGTAACTTATGTTTTTCCAAAGTTATGTTACGACCTTAAATTTCAGACATAGCGACATTTTAATTTTTTTTTTTTTTATATATAAAGTAAAAATACATTGGCGATACAATCCTTTAAAAGGCGACCGTGTGGATTTTTTTTCTAAAATAATGAACCAGATCAATAGCGGAGGTTTCGAACGATTTTTGATTAATGGTTTCTCGTTCATTAACCAAATTCTTAAAACCCTTCACATCATTAGAAGATTCATCCGGAAAAAAAGAAAAAAACATTGTCAAATTAATGTCCCTTTTTTTATAAACTCCTTAAACGTACTACAAATAAATCACAGATCAGCACAAATTATTAATAATAATCGATCAATGAACATTTTATGATAAAACAAAAACCAATTCAATTTATCTCTATTGAACACTGACGGAACAAACTAGAGTACAATAATTTTTAAATTCCGACATTGAAAACAATGAGAGAATACTCTTCGTTCGAAACGTCGCCCAAATAAATTAGTAGCCCTTTTCCATAAGTACGTATTATAGTTTATGAAATACAATAGTTTTTAAGTGCCGAAATTGATATTTATGATATTATTATAACTTTTCAATAAATCGTTATCTGTTTTCCCATAAGTTCCGACATTGATATTTATAATATTATTATAACTTTTTAATAAATTGGTAACTGTTTTTCCATAAGTACGTGTTATAGTTTATGGAATACAGTGTTTTTTAGGTGCCGACATTGATATTTATAATATTATTTTAACTTTCACTAAAGTTTGTTTAATCTTTAATTTTAAAAAAAGATAAACTTTATTCACGATAACTGAAAAAGAAAACCATTTCGAAATTCAGACTTGGATTCATTTTTCTTATGAAATTTTAGAAAATCCTATATCAGCGCAAAACTTTGGATAAATCTGTCACCGCACTCTCTTATCTCAAAATTGTGATTCTCCGGTTGTACGTGACAAGGAGTAGGATCGCCGAAATCGCCTAATTTGTGTCGAGTGGTTGCCTGTCCAACCTCGTGGGTTTTCTCCGGGTCCTCCTTCTTCCTCTCACTGCTAAAGAACCCTACGCGCAAGCGAATTATTGAAATAAAATAAACCATATGTTAGTCCCAAAATGACCTAGTCTGTGTCGAGTGGATGTTAAATCTCTCTCTCTCTCTCTCTCTCTCTCTCTCTCTCATCAGAAGCTAGGGTCATGTTATATATTTACTTAGTAAACTAGTTTTTAAAAGCAAACTATGATTTTAGTAGACGAGTCCGTTGTTTCTGTAAACATTATAGGCTTTCATATGTTATCTTAAAACACAAAACAAATCATAGAATATCAGAACATCTAACATTATTTGTCATGTTTACTTATTTCTAAAAGTCAGAATCCTGAAAAAGTAAATTCCGACGTTTATTAAGTTGTGCAAACTAAACAAAACACAAACAAGATCGTTCATCTGGAAAACAAAAAAACGATAAGAGAGAGAGAGAGAGAGAGAGAGAGAGAGAGGAGGAGAAACGGGGTTTAACGTCCACTCGACACAAACTAGATCATTTTGGGACTAACACATGGTTTAATTTTATTTCAATCATTGCTTGCGCTTAGGGGTCTTTAGCAGTGGGAGAAAACCGGAGGACCCTGAGAAAACCCTCTGCATTCCGTCCGGCTTTTAAATTATGAATGAACATTTTATAATTGAAATGAACTAAAATGATATCGGGTTACTGATCATACATCATGCAGTGTTCTATCGAGGAAAGTTCGCCAACCTGTACAGGGGACATAGGTTTTCGCCCAATCCGAAGACCTAGGCACCGTTCCTTGTCAGTCCCTCCTTCCTACATATGCTTGACAAGTGGAAGCCACGCTAAAGAACCCGAGGAACTCTCTGGACCAACATATTTCATTAATATATTAATAAACCTTTGAAGGCATTTACGGGGTTGGATGGCCGAATGAATAGCACGTTAGTGCTGTATCATAAGGTTCGTCATTCAGTCAACTGGCGTGGTTTTAATTCCCGGGTTATACGTGACAATGAATAGGATCGCTTTACCAAACTGCTAAAGACTCCTACGCGCAAGCGAATTATGGAAATAAAATTGAACCATATGTTAGTCTTGAAATAACCTATTTTGTGTCAAGTGGACGTTAAGCTCTTTCTCTCTCTCTCTCCCCCCTCTCTCTCTCTCTCTCTAAATTACCATCTTGGGGCTGATGTCCCGGGATAAAAATGTATTATCCTTCAGTAGCCCACTGATGATTATAGGATAATAAAGATGGCGATGGGAAATCAATGGAATGTAATCAGAATATTTCGATGGACATCTTATTGGTCGTTTATAATAATATTTGGACCAATGCATTGTGAAAGAAAGTCAAAATATTGCATTTCTGTGTGGACTATGGTGCCTATAACATTTAGTATTTTCACCAATTAGAATTTTTCGCAAACCGTTTTATCGAAGCTTTTATTCAATTGAAAAGGATTTAATTGACAGAATTGGGTTTAAAACTTGGTTGGCAGACTAGGATTAATTCTGCTTTCATTAAAAACAATTGTATCTGCTTTGGAAATTAAAAAAGAAGATCTCACAGGGGACGTAATATCGTGTATCAATCATTTATGGCCGGGATTCAGGTTTTATTATAAAGAATGCGCAGACTGAGGCAATGGAGATGGGAATAGACCAAATGCCAAGGGATCTTTAACGTGCTCGGTTTGTCTTTCCATCCGAACGACAAGACAGTTTCTCGAGCTCGGCTATCCGTGCTGTACCATTAACAGGGCCAAATCACGTTCTCGCCGATGGGCTTTTCTGGCATAATGTCTTTTCCTAGTAATTTTCCGGTGTGATCACCCCTTGTCAGTGGTGCAGGGTAGAGGGCCTGGCAAGAGGCGACGTATAGTCGTTCGGATGGAATAAAACACCATGGTCCCGTGTACTCATTGGCGTATACATAAAAGATCCCTTGACAGTTGGAATTCAATATAAGAGTAGGCCGTAGCGCCGCTGCCCGAGAGAAAAATTGCCGTCATAGCACACACTGTATGGCGCATTCCCATCTTCATTAGCATTAACCCAGTCGGAGCAGAACAGTAGGACGTTAAACCCCATTTCATTTCATTCCGTTTTCTAGCTGGCAATTTAAAAGTAAGGCTTTGTGTTTGGGTTATAAAACCCGTCGTTATTGCCCTCATAGCACACACTGCATGGCGTATGCCCACCTTCATTAGGATTAACACAGTCGGAGCAGAACAGTAGGACGTTAAACCCCATTTCATTTCATTTCGTTTCCTAGCTGGCAATTTAAAGGTAATGCTTTGTATTTGGGGTTAAATAAACCCGTCGTTATTGCCTTCATAGCACACACTGCAGAACAGTAGGACGTTAAACCCCATTTCATTTCATTCCGGTTCCTAGCTGGCAATTTAAAAGTAGTGCTTTGTGTTTGGGTTATATAAACCCGTCATTATTGCCCTCATAGCGCACACTGTATGGCGTATACCCACCTTCATTAGCATTAACCCAGTCGGAGCAGAGAGAGAGAGAGAGAAATGGGGTTTAACGTCCACTCGACACAAACCAGGTCATTTCGGGACTAACATATGGTTCAATTTTATTTCAATAATTCGCTTGCGCGTAGGGGTCTTAGCAGTGGGAGGAAACCGGAGGACCCCGAGAAAACCCACGATGTTGGACGGGCGACCCTAATCCTTGCCACGTACAACCGGGGATTCGAAACAGTCGGAGCAGAACAGTAGGACGTTAAACCCTATTTCATTTCATTCCGTTTCCTAGGTGGCAATTTATAGGTAATGCTTTGTATTTAAAGGTAATGTTTTGTGTTTAGAGTATATAAGCCCGTCGTTTGTGGCAATATTCGCTACATTAACCATTTAGTGTCGAATCATCGCCCAATTATCTATATACGGTATCTCATTCTGGCCGTTGGTGATCAGCAATAACCGGACAATCAAGTATTCTATCTAGACGTTAAATATGTCTGAATGAAATTTCTGAACATCTTACAACAAATGGACTAGCGACTGAAAACGAGAGAAATTGTGAGCTTTGGGCGACTTCTCACAATCTGATTTAAACACAGATTCTGTTTCGTTTCGTTTTTTTTTATGGTTCAACATTACTACACTAGGATCTGGAAAGGTTGTTATATAACCTGCTTTCTGGATGATGTGAGGGATTAGCCAATGAAACGGTCTGTTACGGCGAGTTTTTGGCGTGAGGTGAACGGAAACTTGGGTAAACCACAAGAAACGTCAACGATGATTGATTAATCAATGTCTGACGTCATAAGGTCAAAAGCCGCTCGTATGACGCCTGACGACTGGTCAGATCTTCATGTAGTGTAG